ATATTGATTTCAATTTAAGAGCCACCGGTATACAGCTGTTTCAGCCTATTGGGCATCGTCAGTACCAGGTAGGCGGTCCTCGATTGAAGACAAAATGAGAAAAAACCAAGAAAGTACTTGATGAAAATAACTGCGTAAACGCAAGCGAAACATAAGTGGAACCACCTATTGATGTGACAGCCAAGTCAACTTGCCAAGTTTTTATGTCAGTGTTGGTGGTTTTTACCAATCAACCGACAACTGCGGTAGCAGAAATTTGGGAAGCTAACCTGGAAGGAAACCTAAGTTTCCTTCGTTCTTTTCAACGCTAATAAACAAAAGCATTAAGTATAAATGACATAAAAATGATGATTTCTGATGAAACACCTGCTGCTTGAAATGTTCTATATAAATCAACTTCATAGCCTACCAATCTGCAAATGTAGCGGAATTGTAGAAACCGACAATATTAATTGTCAGTAATAACTGCTCATGATATTGAAATAGTAGAAAAAATCATCCTGCATCCTGAAATATCTATAATACTGCCAAATATACCGGAATAACTCGTTCTAATCGACAATTAATAACTGAATGACTATCAATTTTCTCCAGTTGAAATTCAGTCTATGAAGGACGTGTGATCTTGTCTTTAAAAGTAAACTAGTATAGCCATCCTGTTCTAATGACCGCAGCTCGTTCTAGATAAGCAGTATAAAAAGCTTACATTTACCTATCTCTTTTGATTCGAGACATTTGACTATACCAGGTGTTAACGATAATTTCGAATAATCTCTTCTATGAAACTGAAATTGAAAAAGTTCTTTATAGTTATGTACGAAAGATGATGAAATTATAGATATTGATGCCATGATCTAAACATTCTGTTGACATAATCTATTTCTTTTTTCACTGTTTGTTGGGATTACCAACTCAACTTATGATTTTAATTTGAGAAATTGAATAAAATCTGAAATTTCAAAAAAATATACAAAATAATCAATTTCTGAATGTGAAGGAATGTTCAATTTTGATTACTTCCTTCAAACCAATGGATTGATGAAATGAATGATAGTTTGAGAAAACTTAAAGAACACGCTTTAATAGCAACACAAACTGAAAAATATGAAATAATTCAAAACTAATTTGAAATTGTGAAATGGATATTATGGAGATCATTTTTTCAAATTTGTCTATTGAATCATACTCTTGAATATAGCAATGATAGTTAGAAACACCCTGTATATTATTTTTCAATTCATGTTGCATTAAGGTAGACATTGTCATTCATTGTACACTTTTGTAGTTTATTGATTAGATTTTGAATCAATTTGAACTTTCACCATCAAACTAAAGCATTCTGAATACACTTGAGAAAGCTGATATACCTAATCTATTTATACTTATGATGCACTGTTTGGAACCTTTGGTGTAGTAATGAATATTACTGGAGAGGAAGATCAATCTTCCTCTTTGAAGATGATCACTTGGTGATCGAAACACATGTCGAGGTGTTAAAAATAACGATTTGGTGTTGGGAAAGAAAAACTTCAGTAATATTTACCTAATTTTTCTTCACCAGCATAATTTTGAACTACACAATACAACTGACTTATAAATCATNGATAAAGTTTTTTTTCAGCTAATCTTTTTTATTTTTTATAGATCCTTTCAGGCATTTCAAATCAATTTTTATCATATAAGACAATGGAAGTCCGAACTGACGAAATGAAAGAAATATATTTTGTCATTCAATAACAAATGATTCTTCAAAATCCCAGATTAGGATAATTTATATAAACATGATATGCAATGATACAGTCGATATTTGAGTAGTACTTGATAAATTTCAACAATTATGGTTGTAGTGATTTGCAAAATTCAAGAAGTTATCGAAAACCCCCGTAAAAAGAAACCATTAGAGATTCGATCTCTAAGCAGGTCAATTCATCTCACAGATCCAATTCTTAGTCTATCTGTTTTAATTTCTTTTCTCGTTTTCTGCTCCACTAAGTGCCAATAATGAAAAGTTTGGAAAAGTAGATTCTTTTTTTTTCCACCTCGTTTCATATAAGAGCAGATCTGTTATACATGCTACTACATTTCATCGAGTGTCCTAGAACATGAAGTACTTAGTGTTAATTAGTGCAATATTTTTCCTTTCGGATGTCCGAGCGTCGACAGAAGGACCATATGGCTTTCAAATTTTGACGAAAGTATTTCGGCAATTTTTGAGGTCTCAACCCGACGATGTTAAAATTGGTGATGGAGTGCACATCATCAGTACAAGTAGTGAAAATGATGCAAGAGCTAATATTGATGATGGAACTGTGTTGGGAGTAGTGGAAAACTATTTAGAGCATCATGAGTTGCGGATAAGACTTCCAGAACTCATGCCCGGTGAAGGTTTCGGAAGAGCCTTGAAAACTGCCATGAATGAAGTTGATGGGAAAGAGGATGAAAGTGAGTTTCAATTAATTTCAAAACGTATTCAATATACTTGAACTGTGAAACTTTTCGAATATATATGTATATATATATATATATATATATATATATA